TCAAGAGTATTAAAGGGCAGGAAGGTAGCCAGTAAAGTCAAAGACTTCAAATCACTGACAATCAATGAGTTATCCAGGCGGCAGGTTTGTTGATTTGTTAAACTATAATCATAAGTTATCTAATAACATAATTCAAATTTACATCAGGTCAGTGCTTGATGATAGTTTAATGACCAATCAACAACTTGGAACCTGTGTCAGGAATCGAGCATTTTTTTCCCTCTCGCAGCCTGGCCATGGGCTAGAATTTTCTACTACACAGGCCGTTTCTGTTTGTGGCCCACTGGCCCACATAGCTATCACAGCCTGGATGGTCTGGCACTAGGCAGAGCTAGTGATTTGGTTTCCTCTTGAAAACTTGTACACTTATTCCGGCAATATGCTGAACACATTCAATAAATCATGTTCTACTTATCTTTGTACAGTATTAAACACAAGAATCCGCCAGTCAGCAATTAAATTACATACAGCATTGCATTATGACCAGTGTAGTAAACCCATGATTTAACCAGCCTTGTTTTAATTAACATTGATTTAATGAACCTCAATTTAAAAGACCTTAATTTAACCGAGTTCAGAAATATGGGACAAAATCTGCTGGTTCAACAGATTCAGAAGAACAACAAAGTCCATCAGTACACAGAATTATTAGTTATTGTTACAATCATGGCAAAACAATTTCACTTCATTCCACTACAATCTACATTACTGGCCACCCACTCCCTCCCCCATTAGTTCTTTAAATTAAGTGTTTACTGTATATTCATAGGGAAGTCCTTAATTCATAGGGACCATACAGTGCCTGGAGAAAGGGAGCTCATCAAGTTTGATCCAAGGAATGAAAGAATAGCTCTACTTTCATGGATCAAAACCCCTTCACCAGCATGAAGGCATCTTACTTGAAGGAGAGTGCTTCAAGCAGTGTAATATCAAAGTATTTACTTAACTGTCACTGTGTTATTGCTCAAAAGAGACTTGCTATAATAAAGGAATTTTTTTACAAATTTTTTTTTGTATAATACATACAGTATTTGAAAGTTTGATTAGTAGGATGTTTGCATACTGGTGTATCATCATTGGTTTATGCAAGGAAAAATTCTAAATACCTGGCTACTTACTGCTAGGTGAACAGAGGCAACAAGTATAAGGAAACATGCACAACTTTTTCCACTTTTGCTGGGACTGAGCCAAGGTTCTTCAGATCTGAGCTGAAGGCTGAGAAGATATAAGATGAGGGTGAAGGGTGAGACAGCTGTGAAGGGTGATAATGGTGAAGAGTAGAATGACAGTGAAGAGTGAGATAATGACAATAACAAACTTTATAAAGTACAGTATGGCTACATATGACATAGGACAAATTGATATGTATAAATTACAGCCTCTCCTCACTTAACGACGGAGTTCCGTTCCTGAGACCACGTCGATAAATGAATTTGTTGTTAAGTGAGGAGCATACTATAATGGTAGTGGGTTTGTGTCACCCATCTTTGATATTGTTTTTAAGTCACCTTTGCACCATTTATAACATTTCTGGTATATTTTTAAATGTTTATACAGTAGTTTACTCATATTCTAATAAACAGAATAGAGGAAATAAGCTCTAATATACATTATTTAGGTATAAATACTGGTCAAAGACTCCATCGTAAGTCCGAGTCTTCGGTAAAAGAGTACGTCGCTAAGTGAGGAATAGCTGTACTTTATATTGAGCCCCTTATGTTAGGCAGCCTTAAAATTAACTTATATTTACTAAACAATTATTTAGTTTACAAGAATGCTGTGGTTTACACTTTCACTTTATACTGTATATAAGAATTTGGTTTATGATTTATGGCATTTTTAGAATTTGTGTAAGAATTTGATAAAACACTGACCATCAGCATCAATCAATCAATCAAGTTTATTCTCTATAAGGATTACAATGCAGGGTTTACAGATTTTGGTTATTGTGTAGTTTACATGTAATAAAATACTAATTACAGAGGGGGCCACTAGAACCCCTAGCATGGCTAGGCATCTCGGGCAAACTTAGATTAATTCTTAACCCTAAATTATTACAAATTATGGAGTAAGTTGACTAAATACTAAGTGACTAAATACTAGTTAGTGAGTTTAGCAATGTGAATGCTTTTGTTTTGGCACAATACATAGTTTATATATTGGAGTATCACAAGCAAACTTATGACTAGTTAGGAATCATTATTTTAAGATTAAGATTCGTATTTCTGTGCTTATAGTCAAATGGGTGAGTGAGTGTAAGTGTGATCCACCAGGTGGTTTTTATGTAGTTAGTTAACGGGGTGTATCAGGGAGATAAGATGTTTTCTAATGGTAGTTTTGAAGGTGATGAATGTGTCTGCAGTTCTAGAGTTTTCAGGTAGGGTGTTCCAGATTTTAGGGCCTTTGACATACATTGAATTTTTGTAAAGGTTTAGTCTGACACGGGGAATGTCATAGAGATGTTTGTGTCTGGTGTTATGCCTGTGGGTCCTGTCACAACTATCAAGAAAGTGTTTTAGGTCAAGGTTAATGTTGGAATTTAAGGTCCTGTATATGTAGATTGCACAGTAGTAAGTGTGGATGTTCTGAACAGGGAGTAAGTTTAGATCTATGAATAAATACTAATATGATTTGGATCACCAGAGTTGCTTTTGATGAACCGACCTTTAACATAATTAATCTATGCAGGGTTTTGGTCAGATTTACAAGATGCTTGTTAACTAAATTTTTGAAGAAATGGCAGAACTTTTTGCATCTTCTGGAAGCAAGTTCCAAATTTTAGGGCCCTTTATTTGCATGGACCCTTTATCTGCATCAAACATGAGTTGTATCACAGAGATACTTGTTTCTTGTACTGTCTTCATGACTCAAGGAACTGTAATAGTAAATTACCTAGGATAACCCAAAAAGAGTCAGACAAAGTATCTTATTTCTACTGGAGTCCTTGTAACATGATTGCAGAACAGGTGGGATCTGAACCCATGGTAGGAGAGTCCAAAAACTCACAGGTCAGTGCGCTAAACACTCGGCCAGCTGACTCTAATAAAATTCATCCAACCAGGTATATTTCTATACACCATAGTGAGGTTAGCATGAGTTTAACTCCAGGAAGAGTCAGAGTGCTGGCTTGAAGCTTATTCTAAGTGTCCTGTATGTACAACACACAATAGTAGGTGTAGATGTGTTGTACGTTAAGTAAAGTAAGACACTTGAATAGTTGGGGGATGGGTGTTGTGTGAAACCTGATTGGGTAATCATTCAAACAAGAGAGCATGTAGGCCAGGATGAATTACAGCAACTGGATATGCTGAATGAAGACAGAGTAAAACAAGTAGTTACATCACAGTGTCCAGAATATCTTGCTGCCAAGTTTGTCAAGGCCAAGAACCAAAGCAAGTATAGTATTATAATACCCCCAGTTGGTGGTCACACTTCAAACACATTTTACTGTATGGCAATAAATAACTGGAATGGACTGCCTGCACATGTCAAAGCCCATCACAGCATCAGCCAGTTCGAGAAGAGAGCCAAAAAGTACCAATGAATGTAGCTACAGAAAAGGAGAGTGATTTCTAGTATAACTAATATACAGGTACCCATTACTGTGATCTGATCCTCTTTTTAATGTTAATGTAAATACATAACTCAGTTTACCTCGTTCATAATGTATCTCCTTTTATTGTAACTCCTTTTCATGTAGTTGAGTTATTTAGCTGCTTTTAACTTTAAACATTCAAATAATAAGATATTACAAGGACCCCAATGTAAATAAGTTACTTAGACATTTTTGGGTTATCCTAGGTAATCTACACATGCTGCTATGTATGATAATTTATATAACTGTATTTATGTGTACCTATACCTGAATAAACTAACTTGCTTACTTACAACTGATTTGTTGGGTGATATATGTTGGGTGATATATGTTGGGTGATATATGTTGGGTGATATATGTTGGGTGATATATGTTGGGTGATATATGTTGGGTGATATATGCTGGGTGATATATGCTGGGTGATATATGCTGGGTGATATATGCTGGGTGATATATGCTGGGTGATATATGCTGGGTGATATATGTTGGGTGATATATGTTGGGTGATATATATTGGGTGATATATGTTGGGTGATATATGCTGGGTGATATATGCTGGGTGATATATGTTGGGTGATATATGTTGGGTGATATATGTTGGGTGATATATGTTGGGTGATATATGTTGGGTGATATATGTTGGGTGATATATGTTGGGTGATATATGCTGGGTGATATATGTTGGGTGATATATGTTGGGTGATATATGTTGGGTGATATATGTTGGGTGATATATGTTGGGTGATATATGTTGGGTGATATATGTGGGTGATATATGTTGGGTGATATATGTTGGGTGATATATGTGGGGTGATATATGTTGGGTGATATATGTTGGGTGATATATGTTGGGGTGATATATGTTGGGTGGATATATGTTGGGTGATATATGTTGGGTGATATATGTTGGGGAGATATATGTTGGGTGATTAGTGATATGTGAAATGGGTGAAGTTTTTCTTTTTCGGGCCACCCTGCCTTGGTGGGAATCGGCCGGTGTAATAATAAAAAAAAAATCAGCATTTCATTTCAGGTTGCAGTCAATGTGTATGACTAAGAGTGAGGTTTAAACATAAAGAGTAAGACAGGCATATTGAAGGGTGAGAAAGGCATATAAAAGTGAGATAAGCAGATAGAGGGGATATATAAGCAGATAAAAGGGTGAGATAAGAAGATAAAAGGGTGAGATAAGCAGATAAAAGGGTGAGATAAGCAGATAAAAGAGTGAGATAAGCAGATAAAAGGGTGAGATAAGCAGACAGAAGGGTGAGATAAGCATAAAGAGGCGATAAGGAAAGAGGCGAGATAAGCATGAAAGGCAAGATAAGCTTAAATACGTATGATTTAGGCTTAAACCCTAGCGAGACAAGCGTGAAGAAGAGTGATATATAGGTAGTATGAGTACCTCAAGAGTACGGATCTCCTGCTGGGTGAGCTGGGCGCTGGTAGCACACTGAGACCTGAGTCTCTCCAAGTGCTCTGCCTGCGAGGCGATGAACTGGTGGTGAGTCTCACAGGTCTCCAGCGCCCGTTGTATCACCTCCTGCACGCCCACATCGCCGCCCCCGCCCACCTGCTGCTGTGGACCTTCTCCCTGCAACGCTCCCACCAGCCTCCCGCCGCCCCAAGACATCATCTACCTTACTATCTGTCTATAGACACTGTGCACAAGACGAGGCGGCGTAACCCGCACTTTCCCTTCATGCTTGGTCGCCGCGAGCCAAGGCTCAGCCACTAGGTTACATGAAACACATAAGGGAGCGCCTCACACTGGCCGCCATCATGGACACCCTGCAAACATTTCTCACTCATGCGTTCTACAAGTTCATCCCTCACACACCTCACCTTCCTCATGCATTATCACTCGCATCTCACACCACTGATCACATGCGTATATACATATCATCCCAGGAAAAATACAATACTGTCATAATTCCTAGCCACAAGCATCATTTTTTTTCCTCATGCTAGGATGCATACTGAGGAACAAAATTTGGTCAGTTATAATAACTTTCTGTATTAACGTTTAAATAATTAATAATATTCAATAACATAACTAAATGAGATTTTTTTCTGAATAACTATAAAATAATATTACACTATTCTTTCAGCATAAAAGTAATAATATCATCAAGGGTAAAATAACAGCAGTAGAAAACGGTGGATCACAGGGAGGTGTTGGTCATCCAAGAGTTTGAATATTTTTCATTTTTTTAATTTACAACATGATTTGTTGAGTGCAGGAGTTGTGGCAGTGTACCACGTTACTGGTGTCTATATTACATGGCTGACACAGCTCTTTAGTATTTGTGAAAGATAATAAATGGCTGGTGTGTGTGGCGGGTTTTATATGTTTTTTCTTTATTAGTATAAAGTGTCCTAGTTATCTTGTCAGGTGTGTTGTCCTCTCACAAAAACCTTCACCTTCCTAGTATATTACCTGGAAATTTTGTGTGTAACCTTAAACCTCCAGGGGATATTATTTTTTAAATCAAGGGGAAGGCAAAACCCGGGATTATCAGCCCTGGGGGGGGGGGCTGTGGAAGGCTTTTCAGGTTTAAATTTGGGGAAGGAGCACAGACCCAATTCCCTAAATCAAGAGCCCTCACCATATTTAATTAAATTTAATTTATATATTTTTATATAAATTTTTTATTATAATATATATATTTATTTTTAATAAAAATTTATATTATATATAATATATATAAAATATATTTTTTTAAATTTAAATTTTATTATATATTATATATATTAAAAATTATATATAATATATATATATATATTTTATTTTAAAAATATAAAAAAATATATTAATAATATTAATTTATTATATATATTATTATTAAAAAATATTATATAATATAATATAAATTTTTTTAAAAATTAATTATAAAATAAAAAATAAATTTTAATAATATAAAAATAAAATATATATAAAATTTTTAAAATAAAAAAAATTTTAAATTATATAAATATATATAAAATATAAAATTTATATTATATATAATATATTTAAAATTATGTAGGTAATTTATTAACTTTTGGTACTTTACCTAAATAAATTTAATGTTATTATATGGGTTTTTCCCTAGTAAAATTTTTTAATATTACTAGAAAAAAAAAGTACAATTAACATGGGAAATTACCGAAGAAAAAAAACCCCCAAAAAAAGTCGATGACTTTATTATCACTGATAATATATTGGGTGGTTTATTTTGTCTGGTAACCAGGAAAATTTGCAACACTTGGGGAGACTCTATTTTCCGAATTGTTTTTGCAATGGGGGGGCTAAACGTAGAGGGAGGTCATAAGCTCCTGGGGGGGGTGGAAGGTGTTCCCCGGGCCAAATTCAAGGAAGGGGGGCATATGTTAGTTTCCTTGGATCAAGAGCCTTTTTGCCAGCATCAAGGAACCTTCCCTTAGGAGCAATAAGGGTTTCAAATGCCATCATTTGTTGGAATTTAAGGCACAATTTTACAACTGAATTTCACAAGTTTTAAACCCCAATGCAATAAAAAACACAGAAACAGGTGATATGTTTACAAAATAACCACAGTGAAAAAATAGTGAAATTCCAAGCACTTTGTGATTCCTGAATACCTTTTACTGAGGGGATTCGGTCTTATTGAGGTATATTTCAGATTTATTTGTCTTTTGTTGTCCTTTTTTTTTGTGATTCTTTGATAATGTGAGAAATATGAATGCTCTAGGAATCCATTTTTCACTGTTTTTTGCAAGTAAAACATGTTACTGGTGTTAACGCTCTCGCTTCAAAACGGTGGGGCCTGGGTTGATTCCCCGCCAGAGTAGAAAAATTGGACGAGTTTTTTTCACCTGTTGTCTATGTTCCCCATAGTAAAATGGGTACTGGGTGTTAGTCCACTGGGTGGGTGCATCCTGGGGCACTGACCCAAGGAGGCCGGGGACAGACGGGCCGCGGGGGCGTTGACCCCCCGGGAAATTCTCCAGTAAATCCCGAAATCAGAGTAAATTACCTGGGTAACCCCGAAAAAAAATCTGTATATTTTCCCCATGTTTGGTTATATATATTGTTAGAGTTAAAGGACTTTGGGGGAAATCAGACATTATTTAATGGTAGAACCCTTGACTTTCGAGTTTAATCCCTTCCCGACCCAGCTCGTAACTCAATTTAACGTTCAAATCAGTTTTCCCATTTAAAATAATTTAAAAGCCCTTAATCTGTTTTCCCTTTACTCTGGGATAAAAAAAATACAGGGACCCGGTTACGATATTTTTTCACTCCAGAAGTATGTTCGGGGGCCAGTACTGACTGAATTTGTTCCCATAAGAAATATTGTGAATAGATTAGTCCATTTCAGACCCCCAAACATACACGTACAAACGCACTTACATAAGTACACTTACATAATTGGTCGCATTCGGAGGTAATCGTTATGCGGGGGTCCACTGTACTTGAATATGACACTAATATGGCTTATTTATCTATCACAATTCATCTAATATGACATAATAAACAATATAATTAACACAGAAATGTGATATATGCTCTAGAATACACAAATAACCCGCACATAAAAGAGAGAAGCTTACGACGACGTTTCGGTCCGACGTGGACCATTGACAAAGTCAATGGTCCAAGTCGGACCGAAACGTCGTCATAAGCTTCTCTCTTTTATGTGCGGATTATTTGTGTATTGTTCCAGTCACGGTATTGTGCCTTTTTTGTTATTTACTCTAGAATGAATAAAATAGGCCAAAATATGGTAGCAGAGGCAGCGGCGGAAGCGTCCGCCATTTCCTGTCTAACTTTGTAATAAAGTTGGTAAAATTACCGACAATATGTAAAGTAAAAGGACACAAGTGCAACTAATGTGACATTTATTGTGGCAACGTTTCGCTCTCCAGGGTAATGGCTTGATAAAGCTCCTGGAGAGCGAAACGTTGCCACAATAAATGTCACATTAGTTGCACTTGTGTCCTTTTACTTTACTGTCTAACTTTGACTGTAGTATCTTCCCATGCTCTAATTGTAAGAGAAAACAATTTGTGAGGCTGATTGCAGAAATATCATATATAAAAACATAAATCATAATACACTACAGAATGTAAAGAAATGTTAAACTGTTTATATAAGCGTACGTGAGTACTTAACACTTGGAAAAATGAGGGGGGGGGCTGAGAGGGGGAGATTTGAGGGCTCAGCGTCTGACTCAGGGGCCCTTGAACCTCTAACAACAACATTTTTTCGTTTGATCGCTGAACTTAATTTATACAATTTTTTTTTTTAAATCACTTCCCCTAACTGTTACAGTTTGTATTTCTATTGTAGATGTTTTAACTGGGATTGCCTGGGAAGTCCAGGAATCATCATCTTTTTCCTCAGCACTGCCTTTGCATTTATTTTCTGGGACCCAGGGTTAAAAAAAAAGAAATTTGGCCAAATGCTGAAAAAAAAAAATTAAAACAAGCACAAAAATCTGTCCCCAGGATGTAAACGTTACAAATTTTTTGGGCATCAGCTGTCCCAACAGCAGCGTATTCTAAATTTATTTTTAAATTTTTGGGAACTGAAGCTGTATCATTAAAATTTATTTTTATTGTTATTATTTTTAAATTTTTGGAAAACTGGAGCACAGATCCAATTCCCTAATCAAGAGTCCTCCCCCAACTTTAAGGAAACCTTGATGCTGGTGGGGGGCTCTTGATTAGGGAATTGGATCTGTCCCTTATTACCTAAATTAATAATAAATTATTATTATTATTATTATTATTATAACGAATGCCCCCCAACTCAGTGCACTGTTTACCTCACTGGGGGCAGTTTCTCTGCTTTGCTTATTTTTTGACAGTCATTTGGGCCAATTTCTTTTTTCTAAGCTGGGTCTTAAGAAAGAAAGTGAAAAGGACAGTGCTGAGAAGAAAAAGAGGATGATTTCCATGGAATTAAAGCATGAAATCATAGATAAACAAGTGAGATGTCCAGGTTTTGTGTTGATTGGGAAGCAGGGGGAGGTGGATTGAATTAAAAATGGGCTCAAAACTTGGAGAAAAAAATAAACCCCGGGACGGCTTGTGTCTCAAAAAACTCGTATGTTGGGACACTCGTAAGTCAAGATTCCACTGTACTAATAATAATCCTTATTTCTACAAGTACATGTATAAGATATACAGGCCTAGCTGACATCAGTAATAATACTAACAATAATATCTTTATTTACTAAAAGTGGGGTACAAGGTGTAAGGGCCCCTAGCTGACACAAGAATATGTCTACTATATAGAAAGTCGCTTTTTGTGCGAGCATTTCAGGGAAATTAGGTCAGTTTTGTCCCCCGTGCAACCCACACCAGCGAAACCCGGTTTCCCCATTTTACTGCGGGGAACATAACAACCAGTAGGAAAAACAAACCCAAACCCCCCCCTTCACCGGGAATCAAACCTGGACCCCCACCGATGAACGAGAGCTTTTTTCCCACCGGGCCACACATATAGAAAGCCCCCTTGTTTTTGCAGAGCATAACGGGAAAATTTGGGCAATTTATCCCCAGGGGTGTAACTCCACACCAGTCCACTAACCCCCAGTCCTATTTTACTAATAGGGAAACAGGGGCCAGTGGTTTAAAATCAGTCCAAAGCACTTGGAAAATTCAGTAGCAAATTAGGGGGATTATGAACAAGAATCAAGCTTCCTATCCACACGATATTTGAGAGATTAACCACTCGTAAATCTATTTTCAGTACATACTGTAAGACTTTTTATACATGTAAGTTGTAATATCCTGCAGGTTTATAATAAAGGTCTCCAATGCAAATGCATAAATCACTGGTATATGCCATACATAAGAGATCTTATCTATCTGGAAAAGTTTTACTTTTATACTCTTCATGGTCTTCTCAATGCTGATAAGGGGCTCTTGATCCTAGGCACTGGATCTATCCTCCTCTTCCTGTAATAGAAACTGACTGATTCCTATTTCCCAGGTGCTGTATGATCCCAACCATATTCAAAATTTCTAACGAGTTTCTGGTTATAAAGCCTTTTTTTTATTATTATTATTATTATTTTTCAGAGTCATTATGGCATCCATCAAAGAAGAAAGTTCCATTAAGGTTTTTGGAGGATGGCAGAAAGTTTTCTCCCATGATAGGTTAGTGTGAATTCCTCATAAGCACTATATGGATACCAGGTCCTCACCATGATTATTAAAGTAGCTTGACATCACTTCTGCATGTTCAAAGCTACTTCCAATCAGTACAAAAAACTTATACTATTAACCCTTAAACTGTCCAACCCTAGATCTACGTTCATGTGCGGGGGTCTCCGAGCGTAGATCTACTTTTTTTTTTACATGCTTTCAAATGGGGTAAATGAAGGTCGGAGCGCTACGCACGTGAACGTAGATCTATGTTTGGATAGTTTAAAGGTTAATGTGAAAGGAAATTTACTAGTGATATACAAGACCAGCTGGGGGCAGGAGGCAAGAAGGTAGTGGAAGCTATTGCCAACAGTCCTTGATCCAAATTCTCCTTCACTGGTTGTTAATAATCTTTTTCTATCACACTCCCAGCATCAGCTTCAACGTCTTGTTTTTGTTCTTTCCTTTGCCACCCTACCTACTTGCTAGTGATATTTAATGTGTAGCACAGTTTTCTATAGTCATGTAATTTAACTTGTTGATTAGTAATAAATTAAATAAAATAGAAAAAGACATATAATAAAAGTATTACAGTGGTCTAATGGTAGGGCACCAGAACATCATTCTTAGAATAATCACATCTGTAAGCACAAAAGATGCCTTTGCCTGCTGATAGGAGGAAAAAGCAGAAATATGAGGAGTATATACTATATATATATACATATATATAATTTTTTTTTTTTCTCAACAAGTCGGCCGTCTCCCACCGAGGCAGGGTGACCCAAAAAAGAAAGAAAATCCCCCAAAAATAAAATACTTTCATCATCATTCAACACTTTCACCACACTCGCACATTATCACTGTTTTTGCAGAGGTGCTCAGAATATAACAGTTTAGAGGCATATACGTATAAAGATACACAACATATCCCTCCAAACTGCCAATGTCCCAAACCCCTCCTTTAAAGTGCAGGCATTGTACTTCCCATTTCCAGACCAAGTCCACTGTATAAAATAACCTGTTTCCCTGAATCCCTTCACTAAATATTACCCTGCTCACACTCCAACAGATCATCAGGTCCCAAGTACCATTCGTCTCCATTCACTCCTATCTAACACGTCTCACACAACGCTTCCTGGAAGTCCAAGCCCCTCGCCCACAAAACCTCCTTTACCCCCTCTCTCCAACTCTTTCGAGAACAACCCCTACCCTGCCTTCCTTCCCCTATAGATTTATATGCTTTCCATGTCATTCTACTTTGATCCATTCTCTCTAAAATGACCAAACCACCTCAACAACCCCTCTTCTTCCCTCTGACTAATACTTTTATTAACTCCACACCTTTTCCTAATTTCCACACTCCGAATTTTCCTGCATAATATTTACACCACACATTGCCCTTAGACAGGACATCTCCACTGCCTCCAACCGCCTCCTCGCTGCTGCATTTACCACCCAAGCTTCACACCCATATAAGAGTGTTGGTACTACTATACTTTCATACATTCCCTCTTTGCCTCCATAGATAACATTTTTTGACTCCACATATATCTCAACGCACCACTCACCTTTTTTCCCTCATCAATTCTATGATTAACCTCATCCTTCATAAATCCATCCACCGACACGTCAACTCCCAAGTATCTGAAAACATTCACTTCTTCCATACTCCTCCCCCCCAAATTTGATACCCAAATTTTTTTTCTTTATCTAAATCATTTGGTACCCTCATCACCTTACTCTTTTCTATGTCACTTTCAACTTTCTACCTTTACAACACTTTCCCCAAACTCATCCACTAACCTTTGCAATTTTTCTTTAGAATCTCTCATAAGCACAGTATCATCAGCAAAAAGTAACTGTAAATTTTCCATTTTAAATTTTTGATTCCCCATAAATTTTAATCCCACCCCTCTCCCGAACACCCTAGCATTTACTTCTTTTACAACCCCATCTATAAATATATTAAACAACCATGGTGACATTACACATCCCTGTCTAAGACCTACTTTTACCAGGAAGTATTCTCCCTCTCTTCTACACACCCTAACTTGAGCCTCACTATCCTCATAAAAACTCTTAACAGCATTTAGTAACTTACCACCTATTCCATATACAGTGGACCCCCGCTTAACGATCACCTCCAAACGCGACCAATTATGTAAGTGTATTTATGTAAGTGCGCTTGTACGTGTATGTTTGGGGGTCTGAAATGGACTAATCTACTTCACAATATTCCTTATGGGAAAAAATTCGGTCAGTACTGGCACCTGAACATACTACTGGAATGAAAAAAGTTCGTTAACCGGGGGTCCACTGTACTTGCAACATCTGCCACATTGCTCCTCTATCCACTCTATCATATGCCTTTTCTAAATCCATAAATGCAATAAAAACTTCCCTACCTTTAACTAAATACTGTTCACATATATGCTTCAATGTAAACACTTTATCTACACATCTACCCACTCTGAAGCTTTCCCCCGCTCATTCCGCAATCCTACATTCTGTCTTACCTCTAATTCTTTCAATTTTAACCCTACCGTAATACTTTTCCTGGTATACTCAGTAAACTTATTCCTCTATAATTTTTTTCAATCTCTTTTGTCCCCTTTCCCTTTATATAAAGGGATTATACATGCTCTCTGCCAATCCCTAGGTACCTTCCCCTCTTTCATACATTTATTAAACAAAAGTACCAACCACTCCAACACTATATCCCCCCCTGCTTTTAACATTTCTGTCATGATCCCATCAGTTCCAGCTGCTTTACCCCCTTTCATTCTACGTAATGCCTCACGTACCTCCACCACACTTACATTCTACTGTTCTTCACTCGTAAAAGATGGTATACCTCCCTAGCCAGTGCACGAAATTGCTGCCTCCCTTTCGTCCTCAACATTTAAAAGTTCCTCAAAATATTCTCGCCATCTACCTAATACCTCCCTCTCCCCATCTACTAACTCCTCTACTCTGTTTTTAACTGACAAATAGATACTTTCCTAGGCTTTCTTAACTTGTTTCACTCCAAAAATTTTTCTTATTTTCATTAAAATTTCTTGACAGTGCCTCTCCCACTCTTTCATCTGCTCTCCTTTTGCACTCTCTCACCACTCTCTTCACCTTTCTTTTACTCACCATATACTCTGCTCTTCTTATAACACTTCTGCTTTGTAAAAGCCTCTCATAAGCTACCTTTTTCTCTTTTATCACACCCTTTACTTCATCATTCCACCAATCACTCCTCTTTCCTCCTGCCCCCACCCTCCTATAACCACAAGCTTCTGCCCCACATTCTAATACTGCATTTTTAAAACTATTCCAACCCTCTTCAACCCCCCCACCCCCCACTACTCATCTTTGCACTAGCCCACCTTTCTGCCAATAGTCGCTTATATCTCACCCGAACTTCCTCCTCCCTTAGTTTATACACTTTCACCTCCCTCTTACTTGTTGTTGCCACCTTCCTCTTTTCCCATCTACCTCTTACTCTAACTGTAGCTACAACTAAATAATGATCCGATATATCAGTTACCCCTCTATAAACATGTACATCCTGGAGCCTACCCATCAACCTTTTATCCACCAATACATAATCTAACAGACTACTTTCATTACGTGCTACATCATACCTTGTATATTTATTTATCCTCTTTTCATAAAATATGCATTACTTATTACCAAATTTCTTTCTACACATAGCTCAATTAAAGGCTCCCCATTTACATTTACCCCTGGCACACCAAATTTACCTACTACTCCCTCCATAACATTTTTACCCACTTTAGCATTGAAATCCCCAACCACCATTACTCTCACACTTGATTCAAAACTCCCCATGCATTCACTCAACATTTCCCAAAATCTCTCTCTCTCCTCTACACTTCTTGATGCAAAACTCCCCATGCATTCACTCAACATTTCCCAAAATCTCTCTCTCTCCTCTACACTTCTCTCTTCTCCAGGTGCATACACGCTTACTGTAACCCACTTTTCACATCCAATCTTTATTTTACTCCATATAATCCTTGAATTAATACATTTGTAGTCCCTCTTTTCCTGCCACAGCTTATCCTTTAACATTATTGCTACTCCTTTAGCTCTAACTCTATTTGAAACCCCTGACCTAATCCCATTTATTCCTCTCCATTGAAACTCTCCCACCCCCTTCAGCTTTGTTTCACTTAAAGCCAGGGCATCCAGTTTCTTCTCATTCATAACATCCACAATCATCTCTTTCTTATCATTTGCACAACATCCACGCACATTCAGACTTCCCACTTTGACAATTTTCTTCTTCTTATTCTTTTTAGTAATCTTTACAGGAAAAGGGGTTACTAGCCCATTGTTCCCGGCATTTTAGTTGACTTTTACAACACGCATGGCTTACGGAGGAAAGATTCTTATTCCACTTCCCCATGGATATAAAAGGAAAAGTAATAAGACCAAGAACTATTAAGATAAAATCAAGAAAACTCAGATGAATGTGTATAAATAAACGTGTACATGTATGTGTAGTGTGACCTAAGTGTAAGTAGAAGTAGCAAGACGTACCTGTAATCTTGCATATTTATGAGACAGACAAAAGACACCAGCAATCCTACCATCATGTAAAACAATTACAGGCTTTCATTTTACACTCACTTGGCAGGACGGTAGTGCCTCCCTGGGTGGTTGCTGTCTACCAATCTACTATATATTTATATTTATATATATATTTATATATTTATTTATTTATTTATTTATTTTAATGTATATTATTTTTTTTTATCAAACAGCCCATATCCCATCGAGGCAGGGTGACCTAAAAAAAAAAAATGAAAGTTTCTCTTTAAATTTAGTAATTTATACAGAAGGGGTTGTAGCCCCTTGCTCCCAGCATTTTAGTCACCTGTTACGACATGCATCGCTTACAGAGGAAGAATTCTGTTCCACTTCCCCATGGAGATATATGTACTGTATAGAAATCTTGATTCGGAAATGGTAAACACTTTTTACATGGAATGTTTTTTAATCTGTATGATTTTTGAAACCTTAATTTAGTAATATTTTGTAAAGGGGTTCAGGGAAACCGGTTAGCCAGACTTGAGAATTACAATGCCTGCACTATAAAGGAGGTTCGGTATAATTACTGTTTAGATTGACATGTAAATTGTCATGTGTGTGTGCCTCTGGAAAGACAGTGATAGTGTGAATGATGGTGAGATACGGCCAGTGCGTTGAAAAATTAGTAATGTCTATGAGCAAGGTTTAATGTTTTTTTTGAAATCTCAGTATTAGAGATAAAATGGTTAACAATAAAGATCATGAACTGTGATTGAAGACTTTTTTTTTTTTTTTTTTCAGCAAGGAGCTTGGATGTTGCATGAAGTTTGGAGTGTTCATTCCCCCACAAGCAGAATCAGGTGTGAAGAATTGCTGCATTAATTTGCTTTTATAATTTTTTTCAACTTAGGTTACTTAGTAAATATTTATTGTTTTTATTTCATAATAAATTTTAAGTTTTGCAGATTATAAGCATTAATGTGAATTACATATTTCTATTGTTACTTGAGAGATGAAAGTATTGCATAACATAGGAAATCTACTTTTATCAGTAGCAGATGATATCTGATTCATCCAGACATAATAAGAGAGATACACAAATAACCCGAAACGTCGTCGTAAGCTTCTCTCTTTTATGTGCGGGTTATTTGTGTATCGTTCCAGTCAAGGTATTGTGCCTTATTTTGTTATTTATAATAAGAGAGACTAATTGAGAGTTGTTCTTGTGTTACTGTAAAATCTAGGGGTGTCACTATTATAGCTTGATCATTTCTCACCGAGAATAGCTATAAACTGTATGATGTATGTAATTAGATTGCATTTATGAACTATATTCAAGTGGAGAAGTGTATCATGGAGTTATACAATGCTGTCTGATACTGCCTTGAACCACCTGAATTAATATTTATTTTGATTCTTGTTGTCAGAGTAGTCATTGTTTTCTTACGTTGCCTCTTTTTTCATAGGACCAGTACCAGTGGTATATTGGTTGTCTGGGCTGACTTGCAATGAACAAAACTTTATCACCAAAGCTGGGTCTCAGCAGCATGCTGCCAAGTATGGTTTTTTGGTGGTGGCTCCTGATACAAGTCCTAGTAAGTTGTTCAGGTTTCCTCCAAAGCCTCTATCTTTCTCGTATCAGTTTCATTGTATTGTCTGTGGCAGTGTTGAAAAATAACATTTTATCTTCATCTGTCTTTTTTTCTTTTTTTCCTCGAGAGCTACTTTATTGAATGTGTACTTATAAAAATTTATATATTTTAAAGGGGGATGTAACATTGAAGGAGAAGAGGAGAGCTGGGACTTTGGTACTGGTGCTGGCTTCTACATTGATGCCACCGAGGAGAAATGGAAAAAGAACTATCGCATGTATTCCTATATCACCAAAGAACTCCCTGATGTTATTGCTGCTAACTTCAAGATAGAAAGTGACAAAGCTAGCATAATGGGACACAGGTAAAGATTCCTTTTAGTAGATCAGTGACTTTACTATTTAACTTTTATATCAGACATGAATTGCAGATAAGCTCATTGCTAAGTAGGATAAGAGTTTTTTTTTTTTTTTTTTAACAAGTCGGCCATCTCCCACCGAGGCAGGGTGACCCAAAAAGAAAGAAAACTCCCAAAAAGAAAATACTTACTTTCATCATCATTCAACACTTTCACCTCACTCACACATAATCACTATTTTTGCAGAGGTGCTTAGAATACAACAGTTTAAAAGCATATACATGTGCGTATAAAGATACATAACATATCCCTCCAAACTGCCAATATCCTGAACCCCTCCTTTAGAGTGCAGGCATTGTACTTCCTATTTCCAGGACTCAAGTCCGGCTATATAAAAATAACCGGTTTCCCTGAATCCCTTCACTAAATATTACCCTGCTCACACTCCAACAGCTCGTCAGGTCCCAAATACCATTTTATATACTAAAAATTGGATGCAAAAACAATCAATCTGGTTGGGAATAATCTTTTTTTACCTGCTGCTTTTTTATTTATGCTGTACTTTTGTGATAAAATGTAACATTCTTCAGATTGCAGTTTAAGCCAGAATGATTCAAAATTATATGAAGTACAAACCAGGGTAATATTTAGTGAAGGGATTCAGGGAAACCGGTTATTTTTATATAGCCGGACTTGAGTCCTGGAAATAGGAAGTACAATGCCTGCACTCTAAAGGAGGGGTTCGGGATATTAGCAGTTTGGAGGGATATGTTGTGTAACTTTATAGGTAGTATATGCTTCTAAGCTGTTGTGTTTTGAGCACCTCTGCAAAAACAGTGATTATGTGTGAGTGAGGTGAAAGTGTTTAATGATGATGAAAGTATTTTCTTTTTGGGGATTTTCTTTCTTTTTTAGGTCACCCTGCCCCGGTGGGAGACGGCCGACTTGTTAAAAAAAAAAAAAAACATATTTTGTATTACATTTGTCTTGTACATGAGAACCTTTCTCTATGCTATCTGCTGTGTTACGTACATGCTCATAATGATTATACTAAGTTCCTCTTTATACAAAATTGCATCTGTATACGCTTGTAAGGGCAATTTTCATCCTTTTTTCCCCATGGCTCACTCATGCTCTGTTTAAAGTATTTATAAATCTCCTAAATATAAAAAATAAGCATTGAATTTAGAATAGTTCCATAAATTTGTACTTTTCTGAAGAGCACAGATGCTGAATTTTACTTTGTACAATATCTCTATGAATGCTGGGAAAGAATCTTTTATTCCAAGCCACTGCCAGTTGAACTTTGTTTCCTCTTATTTCCCAAGTTCTGTATGACTCTTAAGGGTTTAGTACTTTCCCTTTAACCCTTTGACTGTTTCGGTCGTATATATACGTCTTACGAGCCAATATGTTTGACATATATACTCAAAAATTCTAGCGGCTTCAAATCAAGCGGGAGAAAGCTGGTAGGCCCACATGTGAGAGAATGAGTCTGTGTGGTCAGTGTGCACAGTATAAAAAAAATCCTGCCCATTTACCAGTTTCAACTACCCTATAACATGGTCAGAAATTTGCAATTTGGCTGATTTTACGAAAATTAAAAAATATGCTAATTTCAAAATAGGGTCCAGAATGAACAATGCAGGCATTCCTGGCTGTAAAATAACATTTTCTTTGTTCATCAGTCAAGTCTCCAGGCTCCTCTAATATTACTCTTGCTGTCTATTTTGAATTTTTATTCAAACAAAAAATAGAAGATTTACTGTTATGCAGACTACTGCAATATTGTACTAATTGTATAAATAATGTCAACCCATTAATGACTGCATATTAGAATGGCTAGTTGGATATTTATTGGACAATGACATCATTTGTTTACTCTTGAACATCAGCAAAAATCAAACATTTCCCCCTACTGTGAGCTCCAGTTCAAGGTCTTTTTCATAGTAAAACCAATCAAAATCACCTCTATTTCTATGTGTTTTCCATTCTATCAAATGGGACCAGGAAAACGAGAATACAACCATAAATACTATACGAAAATACACCACAAAGTCGGCGTTGTAATCCAAAACACAGTCAGTTTTTTTTTTTCTCATTATGCACTGTCTGCTGCAGGATTTTTTTATATGGTGCACACTGACCACACAGAGACCCATTCTCTCACATGTGGGCCTACCAGTTTTCTCCTGCTTGATTTGAAGCCTCTAGAATTTTTGAGTATGTATACGTCAAACACATTGGCTCATAAGACATATATATACGACCAAAACAGCCAAAGGTTAAGAAATTCATGTTCTAGCTATTGAGGTCTCACAAACTTTAAAATATTTGAACATCCACCAGGAGGACACTTGTAATATGTTTGACCTACTTAAGACCATGATGACATTATGCATTCTGTGTGTAAGTTTATTTAGGTACAGGTATACATTCTTCTTCTTTCAACAAACTGGCCGTATCCCACCAAGGCAGGGTGGCCCAAAAAGAAAAACAAAAGTTTCTCTTTTTAAATTTAGTAATTTATACCAACCTACTACTTATACATAATTAATTATGTTACACATGTAACACAAATTTAGGTGATTACAATTATTATACATGGTAACATGTGTAAATTACCTGGGATAACCCCCCCCCCCCCCCCAAAAAAAAAAAAAAAAGCCAGATGAAGTGCACTGCTTGTTTAAAACTATTCGCTCGATACCTCATAAAAAATTTAACCCAAAACTTTCTCACTTTGCATAGTCATAAGAGTATAAACTTCAGCAAATTTTAGAATGTATATTTCTTTACATTTTATCTATAAGCTTCAAGATTGTTCACATCCTTATTTTTTAACAATTACAAATTTTGGGTTACAATATTTGAAAAAACCTGTTTCATATCTCTTAACAGGTTTTTCAGTAATTTTCAGTAACTACTGTCTAGTCTTTCACTTTCCCATATTGTTTTGGCTTCATGGGTGTCTTGCTCATGGCTAAGGCATGCAAGTGAAGTTCTTTTATATCTCTTACTAGTTTCATACTTTTATCTTCCTTAATGCATTTGCATCAATTTATATATGACCCTCCTATAATTTTATCAGTTTACCATCTCCATATATCATTTGGTTTACAATGTAATGCCCACTTGGTTCAGTATCAGTAGTTATTTAATAAAATCATGTTCAGGCACAAACATGATGCATCTATTTCCATTCATGCAAAACCCTTTTTTACTTTTTATTTACAATCCCTTATTGTGGCTGTCTTATCTTTTCCTGTACTGTACACCAGATATGTCCCACCAAGGTAGCTCTACTCACTTCTATCTATTAATTATCATTATTGAAATATATACTGTAGTATTGCATACCTGTTGTGCATTGAATACCAGATAATTATCTGAGAAAATTTCTTAAAATATTTTGAAGATGAAAACTGAGACACATGTGTAACATATGGATATCTTTATTGTAGATGTTTTCCCATCCAGTGGCTTTATCAATACAGATTCTAGGACATAATTTGAAGACAGTAGAATTATATACAAAAGATGAGGTAATCAGTCCCTCAGCCTTGGAGTTGGTGTGAAGAGCACCATAATCGTGAAGATTCTGGAGCAGAGGCAAGGAGACTGGCGCCTATATACTAATGCCAGGTGGATTGGGACGGGTAGCAGACGAGGGCATAGTCACTAGTAGGAGGGATTTCCCAGTGAAAGTAGGTCATACCCAAAGGGATGGGTAAGTTGTATTAGCCATCTTTTGTATAGTTCTACTGTCTTCAAATTATGTCCTAGAATCTGTATTGATAAAGCCACTGGATGGCGACACGTCCTGGATGGTGAAACGTCTACAGTAGAGATACCCAGATGTTGCACATGTGTCTCAGTTTTCATCTTGTTGGTATTGTGTACCATTCTTGATGTATTTTGTATATCTAAAAATTTATATTTATTTTTTTTGATATTCAGCATGGGAGGTCATGGAGCTCTGATATGTGCCTTAAAGAACCCAGGCCAGTACAAATCTGTATCAGCCTTTTCCCCAATCTGCAATCCTATTAATTGTCCTTGGGGAGTTAAAGCTTTCACTGGTTACCTTGGTGCTGAGAACAAGGATGCTTGGAAAGAGTATGATGCCTGTGAGCTTGCCAAAAAGTACAGTGGTCCTCCCCTGGAGATCTTTGTGGATCAGGTAAGAAAGTGTATCCACCTACCCATCAGAAATAGGGTACATCACTGACCAAAAAAAAAAAAAAATCCTTAATAGAATATAGTACAGTACAGTACATCCTAGGACTTTCCAGACCTCTTCGTAAATTTTGCTGCACTCGTTTAGCTGACTTTCGAGATCAGGCTATACAGGAGGGCCCTGCTTATATTGGGGGTTAGGTTCCAGGCTACCACTGTAAAATGAATCGCCTTTTTTTTTCACTTTTAAATGTATACAAATGCCTGATAACATATTTATACTATTATATATTAACCCTTTGACTGTTTTGGTCCTATATATACGTCTTACAAGCCACCGTGTTTGACGTATATGTACTCATAAATTCTAGTGGCTTCAAATCAAGCAGGAGAAAGCTGGTAGGCCCACTTGTGAGAGAATGGGTCAGTGTGCATCATATAAAAAAAATGCTGCAGCACACAGTGCATAATGAGAAAAAAAAAACTTGATAGAATGGAAAACATATTATAGAAATAGAGGTGATTTTGATTGGTTTTACTATGAAAAGAACCTGGAAATGGAGCTCAAAGTAGGGGGAAATGTTTGATTTTTGCTGATGTTCAAAAGTAAACAAATGATGTCATTGTCCATTATATGTCCAAGTAGCCATTCTAATATGCAGTCATGAATGGGTTGACATTATTTATACTATTGTTACAACATTGCAGTAGTCTGTATAACAGTAAATCTTCTATTTTCTTGTTTGAATAAAAATTCAAAATAGAAAGCAAGAGTAATATCAGAGGGGCTTGGAGACGTGACTGATGACCAAAGAAAATGTTATTTTAGAACCAGGAATGTCTGCATTGTTCATTCTGGACCCTATTTTGAAATTGTCATATTTTTTAATTTTCATGAAATTGGCCAAATTGCAAATTTCTGACCATGTTATTGTGGAGTTGAAATCGGTAAATGGGCAGTTTCTTGTACTCGATAGAAAAAATGGAGTTCTAAAGAAATAGCTATGAGTTCAGTCGACTGGAACAACGGAATTAGCACAAAATAGGGCTCAAAATGGGCGAAATCGCCGATTTGTAAATATCGCCAAGGTCGCTAAATTCGCGAGGGCGTAATTCTGTCAGTTTTCCATCAAAATTCGTTCTTTTGGTGTCATTACCATCGGGAAAAGATTCTGTATCATTTCATTAGAAAAAGTAATTTTTTTTTTTTTTTTCTCTCCTGACACCAGGAGACACCTCAGGATTTGGGGTTGCGACAGTCAAGGGGTTAAGTTAGCAATAGAACTGGGCACAAAAAAGTAAAATGAATACAGTGGAGCCTCAAATATCAAACTTTCTTCGGTCCAGAACCCTGTTCGAGTGCCTTTACCGAATGAATTTATTCCCATCAGGAATAATGTAAATTAGATTAGTCCATTTCAGACCCTCAAAAATACACTTATAAAAGCACTTATAAAAATACATTTACATAATTGGTCGTGTTGATAGCAGTTCGATTTTTGAGGTTCCATTGTATATAGTATGCTCTTTTTTTTTTTTTTTTTTTTTTTTTTTTCCCAACAAGTTGGCCGTCTCCCACTAAGGCAGGGTGACCCAAAAAAGAAAGAAAATCCCCAAAAAGAAAATGCTTTCATCATCATTCAACACTTTCACCACACTCACACATAATCACTGTTTTTGCAGAGGTGCTCAGAATACAACAGTTTAGAAGCATATACGTATGAAGATACACAACATATCCCTCCAAACTGCCAATATCCCAAACCCCTCCTTTAAAGTGCAGGCATTGTACTTCCCATTTCCAGGACTCAAGTTCGACTATATGAAAATAACCGGTTTCCCTGAATCCCTTCACTAAATATTACCCTGCTCACACTCCAACAGATCGTCAGGTCCCAAGTACCATTCGTCTCCATTCACTCCTATCTAACACGTTCATGCACGCTTGCTGGAAGTCCAAGCCCCTTGCCCACAAAACCTCCTTTACCCTCTCTCCCCCAACCCTTTCGAGGACGACCTCTACCTCGCCTTCCTTCCCCCCATAGATTTATATGATTTCCATGTCATTCTACTTTGATACATTCTCTCTAAATGACCAAACCACCTCAACAACCCCTCTTCTGCCCTCTGACTAATACTTTTATTAACTCCCACACCTTTTCCTAATTTCCAAAACTCCGAATTTTCTGCATAATATTTACACCACACATTGCCCTTAGACAGGACATCTCCACTGCCTCCAACCGTCTCCTCGCTGCTGCATTTGCCACCCAAGCTTCACACCCATATAAGAGTGTTGGTACTGCTATACTTTCATACATTCCCTTCTTTGCCTCCGTAGATAACGTTTTTTGACTCCACATATACCTCAATGCACCACTTGCCTTTTTTCCCTCATCAATTCTATGATTAACCTCATCCTTCATAAATCCATCCGCCGACACGTCAGCTCCCAAGTATCTGAAAACTTTCACTTCTTCCATACTCCTCCTCCCCAATTTGATATCCAATTTTTCTTTATCTAAATCATTTGATACCCTCATCACCTTATTCTTTTCTATGTTCACTTTCAACTTTCTACCTTTACACACATTCCCAAACTCATCCACTAACCTTTGCAATTTTTCTTTAGAATCTCCCATAAGCACAGTATCATCAGCAAAAAGTAACTGTGTTAATTCCCATTCTGAATTTGATTCCCCATAATTTAATCCCACCCCTCTCCTGAACTCATACTTACCTTAAAATATTTGTAGTCTTAATGTAGGGTGAGAGGTGAGTAGTATTTATTATAGGAAATCATAGTTATATTTTTTTGCTTTACTATGATTGTATATATTTTGTTCATATGATATGTAGCATATTATATAATTTTGAAAAAAGTCAAAGATGGATTAATGAAAATGTCTGTAATAATATACAACATTTAAAGCACCCCAGAGCAATTATTATTATCATTATTATGCTTATTGCCATCAATATACCTTGTTCACTGAGTTTAATCATTTCTATCTTGACATTTAAAGTAAGAGGCTTATGACTCCTCTTTTTATCACAGCTACCCTTAGATGCCATTGTGTATGAAAGATACATGGAGAATGTAAACAGACTGAGAGTGAACGGGTGGTGGGTGGTCAGACGAACGCTTTCTGTTGATGTGTGTTCATTTCACATCATGCATGCGTTTGCGAAGCTTTTTTCCCCGCAATACAAGCACCTTACTTTATATACAAGTTGTCTTCAGATTGGTGCAGTAGAATGAATAACAGCAACACTCCCAGTCTCATGCAACACACCATTTTTAGAACGAATAATGTTATGAGTGAAGGCATACGAAAGGAATATTTTTCTACATCCCCCCCCTCAGTAATACTATACACATCTCAAAGATAGATTAATAAAAAGTCTATAGATTTAAGATGCCCCAAAGCTATTATCATCATTACCATGCTTATTGCATCTTCAACACTAGTGAGATACTCTTTGTGATTTTAATTTGTACATGCACGCCAGCACAGTGTGTGAGTTTATTTAGGTACAGGTACCTGTAAGTACAGTTACCAGAGTATGTATAAAAATATGCAGTAACCTTAAAACACTTAAAATTTTGGAGTTTCCAGACAGAATCGAGAGACGTGGAGCTCACGGAGGGTGTAAACAAAGAGAGTGGTGCACAGACACTGTGATAGCAAATCACTGTAAAGTGGGGCTCTCCTGTACTTAAAATAAATTGAATTATCTGTATCTCAGAAAAATTATAGTATATTCTATATTAATCTCTTCATTCTCCACCACATAACCATATAAAGAGGTGGCACATTCTGGATGTGAATTACCAATGTACCAGACAAGAGATATTTAATAAGTTGTCACCAAAAACTTAAGTGTCCACCTGATTGTAATATGCCTCACTGTTGCCATTAATCATTTTGTACACAATTCATCATTATTATCTCGAGTAGCATGTAACATTTCCTATGGCCCTAGAGTCCTGCCAGTAAAAATTTAAATTTCATGTTTTTCAAATAATGTTGCAATAAAAGGCAAATGTCATCAAATGCTCAAAGATCGCAAATTTATCTTAGGATTGTGACATATCTGTCCCAAAGTTTGATGTTGTTAAGATACTGAATTGATAAGCCTTTTATAATTATGATGTGTTGTTCATTCACAGGGTAAGTCAGATAACTTCCTTTCACAAGGTCAGCTGCTTCCAGACAATTTAGTAGGCGCATGTGCTGCTGGGGGAGTGCAAATAGTCCTGCGTATGCAAGAGGACTATGACCATTCGTATTACTTCATCTCGACCTTTATGGGAGAACATTTTGATCATCATGCAAAATTCCTAAAGGCATGAGTTCAGAGTATTTCATCACAAACACATTGAATAGAAACCTAAAGGAAATGACATATTTTGAAATATTTGCATTTAGTTACAAATTTTGTTTCATTACTGAATAAAATGTACACCAGAGATGTGTTATCAGTTTTTCCTGTTTAATTTTATACAAATTATTTTACTCCTGATGTAATGGTCTTTGGCAGCATAAAAGACATGAGGTACTGTTGGAACTTGATCATCAGTAGAAACATAACTGAGTTGAAAGTGCAATCCCTTTAAGAAATTGGAGCTATCCTCACCTTTCTTGAGCCAAACCTGGTTATCTCCCATTTCCCAAATGCGGTGATAACTCTTAAAGGTTGAACACTGTCGCAGTAATGTTTATCAAAGCATATACTACAAGTGAGCAGTAAAGAGCTGGTTGTTGCATTAATGGATTTAGAAAAGGCATACAATTAGGTGGATAGGGGAACCATGTGACAAATGTTTCAAATGTGTGGACTATGCACATAAAATCTGTTAGATTTTATGTGCATAGTCTCAGGGTAGGATATGTAGGATGGAGGGGTAATACTACTCGGTGAAAGTAGGACTTTGACAGGGAAATGTTGTCATCATTGTTTAACATACAGACAGGCCCTGCTTATACAGCAGGTTAGGTTCTTGGCTACTGCTGTAAAGCAAAAATCTCTGAAGTGAAACAGCCTTTTTTTTTTCACTATATTCTGGGCTACTGCTGTAGAGTGAAATAGCCTTTTTTTTCATTTTCAAATGCACATAAAAGCCTGAAAATATGTTTACAGTATCATATATTAAGCGAGCTAGGCCTAAGAATGCAGCGCTGTATAGCCCCTGTGGCTTAGCGCTTCTTTTTTATTATAATAATAGGCCTAAGAATGCACACACAGTACGCACATTACTTGCCATAAAATATTTTTGTCCTTAGTTTATGGCGACTGGTGAATATATATACAGTGGATCCTCAAATTTCGAACGTATCGCTTATTGAACTCTTTGAAAATCAACTGCTTTTTTTCGAACCAACTTTGTCCCTATTATCGAACTTGCCCCTTCTTTCAAACCGCCAGGTACCAGACCTGTCCGCCAGCCCGCTCTGTCTGCGTCCCCACGCAGGCATCATGAGCCAGTTTGCCTTTGTTGATGCTTGAGTGAACACTAACCTACGGGCTCATTCAAACATTTTACGATTAATTCATTGTGTTTAGTGCTTGTGGGACTGTGAATTTAACTACCATGGGCCCCAAAGAAATTTGCTAGTGGTACCCCTGTGGTAAAGAAAGATTAAGATTAAGGAGATTTGTGCCAAGTGGAATGATGTCCAAATGTTTGTGGAGAAGTACCACCCTGAGCAAGCTGAAACAAGCCATCTTTGCAACAAGTAGTGCTCCAGTTCCCCGAATTAAGCCTGAATGCCTTCCACATATCCCCCCCCCCCAGGCGCTGTATAATCCTCCGGGTTTAGCGCTTCCCCCTTGATTATAATAATAATAATAATAATAATTTGCAACAAGTTCAGTGACAGAACCATGTCCCATTTTAGGGAAATCTTAGAGGTGGCAGAAACAGAGGACTGTGGACAGTTATTTTGTGAGACAGGGGTCCAGTGACTCAAGCTGGTCCTAGTGGCATTAAAAGACAGAGAAGGGAAGTAACCCCAGAGAGGGTTTTGATACTTAAAATCCTTATGGAGGGATATTCCCCTTCCAAACACTAACCCCAACTCCCTATCTCCTCTATCTTCCAGATGCCATCCCCTCAAGGAAGGTTCCTTGATGTTGGTGAGGGGCTCTTGATTTAGGGAATTGGATCTGTGCTCCAGTTCCCCGAATTAAGCCTGAATGCCTTCCACATCCCCCCCCAGGCGCTGTATAATCCTCCGGGTTTAGCGCTTCCCCCTTGATTATAATAATAATAATCCAGATGCCATCACCAATCTTCAATAAATGTAAGTAAAAATGTTATTTTATATGTTTATTTAAATTTATTAATAATTGTACAATATGTATATTTGTTGTGTGTATGTAATAATATCTATATAATGTATTTTTTTTTTTTTTAATATTTTTGGGTTTCTGGAACAGATTAATTGTATTTCCATTATTTCTTAGGGGAAATATTGCTTCACCTTTCAAACTTTTCGACTTTAGAACTAGCTCCTGGAACTAATTAAGTTCAAAATTTGAGGCTGCACTGTATTGTAGGAAGTCTGAATTAATGAAGAATGGGTATAATTGAAACCTGCTGTATTAGCAAAATGCCTAAAGGGAAGTGCTGTAAAGCAGGGCCTACTGCTGGTGAGGGGCTCTTGATCTAGGGCCCCCATGATTATAATAACAATAAACTTGGTCGAGGGAATTGGATCTGTGCTCCAGTTCCCTGAATTGAGCCTGAGGGTAACAAAAAAAGTTTAGACTTAGATTGGAGGAAGTGGATGTACCTTAGGGATTTGGGAGCAGACATGTCTGCAGATAGCTATGAAAAATAAGGCAAACCATAGAATAGATAAGGGAAAGTGGTGTGTTGAGACATCTATGCTAAGAAAAGCTGATTCATAAAGAAAAAAAAAAGGAGGGCACCAGTGTAGCGATACCCTTTTATACATTTATATAGGTGTAATCCAAACCATACCACGGGCAGGGTTAGAACCCGCCCGTGGTATGGTTAAAACTGGGCTAGCTGACCCAGTGGCTAACGCCACAGTCTGAAGTTTTGAGACTGATCGCGGGTTCTAACCCCACGCGTGGTATGGTTTGTTTGCAATCGTGTCATTACGATTTTGTGAGTCAGGTGTAATCCATGAGCTTTTGAACATTACAGCACAGCAGCAGCTGCAGATGCTGGAGACGTACACGGAGAAGTGTACTGCTAATATTTTATTTCAATCCAAATTTTAGAGATTATAGTACGGTTAATGGGGTTTAAATGCAAATGGTTAATGGGGTTTAAAGGCAAATGGTTAATGGGGTTTAAAGGCAAATGGTTAACGGGGTTTAAAGGGAAATGGTTAATGGGGTTTAAAGGCAAAGGGTTAATGAGGTTTTAATCAATAGGCTTTAAACCCCATTAACCATTAGAGGCAGTGATGTCATGTTTGAGAACTATGTGCGGTGCGGACCCCAATGTAAATAATTCACTGACTGACTCTTTTGGCTTACCCTAGGTAATCTACACATGCTGCTATGTATGATGATACATGTAACTATTTGTGTACCTGTACCTGAATAAACTTAACTAATATGCAGAAAACTGAATAGAGGTTATTAAGGTGGTTTAATTATGTCCAGAGGACAGAGAGGAATAGGATGATGAGGAGGGTTTATAAATCTAAGGTAGAAGGGTAGGGTTGTCCCAGGAACAGTTGAAAGGAGGCTTTGAATTCTAGCCACCAGTAAGTAAGTTTATTCAGGTATACACAAATACAGTTATGATGAATGGTTTGAATTATTATTATAATAAAAAAGAAGCGTTAAGCCACAAGGACTATACAGCGCTGCAGGGCAGGAAGGAAGCGAGGGCATCAGGTGGCAAAAGGGAGATGGATGAGTAATAGGTTACGGATAACAGCGGGGTAGTGGATGGTGAAAGGGTAAAGGGCAGCAAGAGACTGAACTAGAAAGGGCTGAGGGGAGTGCGAAAAGTATCATCAGTTTGTTAGGTAAGACACATATGCAACAGTTAGACAACTTTATTCCGAAACGTTTCGCCTACACAGTAGGCTTCTTCAGTCGAATACAGAAAGTAGGCAGGAACAGTAGAGATGTGAAGACGATGTAATCAGTCCATCACCCTTAAAGTCGTTAGATTTGAGGTTTCATTCCCTCGCCTGATACATCAGTTTGTGGAGTAAATCAGTCGTTGTCAAGAAGTCAATGAGAGAGTCAGGATTAAAGGAGGGTCCATCAGCAAGAAGGGAAGGTAAAGAGAGAGTAGTAGAACGAAGATGACGTTGGAGGTAAATTCTGCGTGCTCGTTGATAAGAGGCAGTCTAACAGAATGTGGCTAATCGATACTGGAACTTGACACTGCTCACAGAGATGAATGGTTTGAAAAACCGACAAGTAACAAATACAGTTACATAGAATTATCGTACATAGCAGCATATGTGTAGAGAACCTAGGACAACCCCAACAAATCAGAGTGACTTATTTCCATTGGGGTTTGCTGTTAGCCTGATAAATAGGAGTGAATGAAGACAGTGGATTTTAATGGACGTGCTGTTGGAATGAGAGCAAAGCATAACCCCTACGGATTTAACGCTTCCTCTTCAAATACGATGTTAATGTACCAATGAAGAAAAAAATATTGTGCATAGCGCCATCTACATTGTGGCCTGAGACACGGTATAAGGGTCCCCCTCCCCTCCCCCCTCCCCTCCCACCCCCCTCCCCATCCCCTCCCCTCCCACCCCCCTCCCTCCCTCCCCAGGAGGGTGTGTGTACCCAGTAGTGAACTACAGCTGTACACGGTCTGTTGCCTCCACTCGCTCCTCTCTGTATTCCACTTACTACCATGGCTGTCGACGATATTACCGTCTACAACGACGACCCCGAGGAGGAAGAGGTGGCTAACAGTTGCAGTATTTTGTAATTTGGTGCATTACAGGATTAATATTGTTATTAGGTTGTGACGGTCAGGGGTGGAGGGAGGGAATGGCTGCCGGTGCTGTCTCCTGCATTTTTGATTCTGAGGGACTTAGATCCCTCTCACTTTTGTATTACAAGTAAATAATACTGACATGTGTAAATACAGGTGTATATAATGCCGACAAATATGCAAATTATACATGTGAAACATTTGGGAACTTAAAATTTCGGTCACTAGGCTTTGCAATCCTTCGATAGATTTAATCGTGACTTTATAGGACGTTGACAAATGGTTTTTAAATACGTTGACGTGCTGTTTGAATGTGACAATGTAACATTTATTTAAGGGACAGGGAAACGGCACACTTGATCCTGGAGATGGAAAGTACAGTCCTGACTTGAGGGTTTTAATGGGTTAAAAACCCGGTTGACCCTTCTCAAGACATGATGGGGTGTGATGGTTGAAAGTTATTCTTTTTCGGGCATGCCTTGGAATCAGCCCTTGATAATAAAAAAAATAACAAAGTT